AATCTTAGAAGAACTGGCTCAGGAAATTCATGCATTTGCTGGTGTAAGAATGCATAAGTTAAGTGTTTTTAAGTGGGAAGTGAAGCTCTGGATGGCATCTTCTGGACAAACAAATGGTGCTTGGAGAGTTGTGGTGACAAATGTGACTGGTCAGACCTGCACTGTACATGTAAGTTTCAATCCATTAAATAGTAGTGCTTCAAAAATTCTCCACCATGATCCAGCTGTAATGCTTTCCTTCGGAAGTGAGAAAAGGGAATTTTTTTTCTCCAACCAGCCATATTTTTGGTTTCTAGAGACATCATACACCATACTGTGCAAATCTTAATGACCACCAAAAATGGTTAAATTGGGAGGAACAGTAGACCACAAGTGTTGCATGTTTATTTATGTAGCACTCTTGCTGATTTAGTTACATATAGAGATATGTAGTTTCCGAAAAATCCATACATCATTTTTTCCATAATTGAATAGCAGAATGCATGGATGTTGCCAAAAGATGTCTAGCTGAATGGTGTGAGAACAATATCTAAGTATTGAATTAGAACCAGTCTAAACCTTGAGATCATTGAAAATAGAGTTTTGATGAATATAGGTAAAATAAAATAATGTCTGTGTTATACTTTCAGATATACCGAGAACTAGAAGATACCAGCAAACACAGAGTTGTATACCATTCCCTTTCTGTAAGGGGTCCTCTGCAATGTGTACCAGTTAATGCTCACTATCAGCCTTTGGGTGTTCTTGACCGAAAACGCCTACTAGCAAGGAAAAACCATGCCACATATTGCTATGACTTTCAATTGGTAAGACCGTCCATCTTGGCTACGTTGCTTGTTCTTTTCCTTTTTTATGCTCAACAATCCATAACAGTAAAGCTATATCACTGAGAATGATGCTACTTGCAGGCATTTGAGACAGCCTTGGAACAGTTAAGGACATCCCAGTTCCCAGGTATTAAAAAACCCAAAGATAAACTTCTTCATAAGGTCACAGAGGTTATATTTGCTGACCAAAAAGGTAACTGGGGCACTCCTCTTGTTCCTGTCGAGCACCAGCCTGGACTCAATGATGTTGGCATGGTAGCCTGGTGCATGGAAATGTCTACTTCTGAGTTCACTTCTGGAAGAACAATTTTGATAGTTGCGAATGATGTGACCTTCAAAGCTGGTTCTTTTGGCCCAAGAGAGGATGCTTTCTTTCTTGCTGTAACTGATCTTGCATGCACTAAGAAACTGCCTTTAATTTATTTGGCCGCTAATTCTGGTGCCCGTATTGGAGTAGCCGAGGAAGTCAAAGCCTGCTTTAAAGTTGGTTGGTCTGATGAAACCAGCCCTGAGCGTGGTTTTCAATATGTTTACTTAACTCCTGAGGATTATGCTAGGATTGGATCATCTGTCATTGCACATGAGATGAAACTGGCAAGTGGAGAGAGCAGATGGGTGATAGATTCTATTGTGGGGAAGGAGGATGGTTTGGGGGTTGAGAACTTAACTGGTAGTGGGGCCATTGCTGGTGCATACTCTAGGGCATACAAGGAAACCTTTACCTCAACATATGTGACTGGTAGAACTGTGGGAATTGGTGCTTATCTTGCTCGTCTTGGCATGCGGTGCATACAGAGACTTGATCAACCCATTATTCTGACTGGTTTCTCTGCATTGAACAAACTTCTTGGTTGTGAGGTGTACAGCTCCCACATGCAACTTGGTGGACCTAAAATCATGGCTACAAATGGGGTTGTCCATCTCACTGTCTCAGATGATCTTGAAGGGGTGTCAGCTATTTTGAGCTGGCTAACTTGCATTCCCCTCATATTGGTGGTCCACTTCCCATTTTAAAGCCATCAGATCCTCCAGAAAGACCTGTAGAGTACTTCCCAGAAAATTCATGTGATCCTCGTGCCGCTATTTGTGGTGCTTTAGGTAGTAGAGGGAATTGGAAGGGAGGTATTTTTGACAGGGATAGCTTTGTGGAGACACTGGAAGGTTGGGCAAGAACAGTTGTGACAGGAAGGGCAAAGCTTGGAGGAATCCCTGTGGGAATAGTTGCTGTTGAGACACAGACGGGGATGCAGGTTATCCCTGCTGATCCAGGACGACTTGATTCCCATGAAAGGGTTGTCCCTCCAGCTGGACAGGTATGGTTTCCAGATTCTGCTACCAAGACGTCTCAAGCAATAATGGATTTCAATAGGGAAGAGCTTCCACTTTTCATCCTTGCCAATTGGAGAGGCTTTTCAGGTGGGCAAAGGGATCTTTTTGAGGTATCCTTCAGGCTGGATCAACCATCGTTGAGAATCTTAGAACATACAAACAACCTGTTTTTGTGTACATTCCCATGATGGGTGAGCTTCGTGGTGGGTCATGGGTTGTTGTGGATAGCCGGATCAATTCAGACCATATTGAAATGTATGCTGAGCGCACTGCAAAGGGTAATGTACTTGAGCCTGAAAGAATGATCGAAATCAAGTTTAGGACAAAGGAGCTATTGGAGTGCATGGGCAGGCTCGACCAACATCTTATAAGTTTGAAGGAAAAACTTCAGGAAGCCAAGAGCAGTGGTGCCCATGCAAAGGTGGATAATCTTCAGAAGCAAATAAGATCACGTGAGAAGCAACTGTTGCCAGTATGCACCCAGATAGCCACTAAATTTGCTGAACTTCATGATACTTCTTTGAGGATGGCTGCGAAAGGGGTGATAAAAGAAGTTGTTGACTGAAACCGTTCACGCTCTTTCTTCTACAGAAGACTGCACCGGAGAATTGCTGAGTGTTCTCTGGTCAAAATTGTAACAGATGCTGCTGGTGACCAACTGTCACATAAATCTGCAATGGACTTGATCAAGAAATGGTTTTTGGATTCCAATGTTGCAAATGGAAGAGAGGATGCTTGGGTTAATGATGAAGCTTTCTTTTCATGGAAGGATGATCTGAGAAATTATAGTGAGAAGCTACAAGAACTGCGTGTCCAAAAGGTATTGCTTCAGCTTACAAATATTAGCAATTCAGCTTCAGATATGCAAGCTCTACCTCTAGGTCTTGCTGCCCTTCTAAGCAAGGTAAACCATCCAACTACCTTTTCTTGCTTTTACGGCATTCTTGTCTGTATCTATTGGAACCCTGGATGATTGTTTTAATCCAATGCAGATGGAGCCATCAAGCAGGAAACAACTAGTTAATGAACTTCGTAAGGTTCTCAGTTGATTAGAAGTCCGTACTTCATGCTAATAAGGTCCTACAATTTTCTCACTCTTGTGCTACTTGCGTTAAAATTTTGGTAACTTGATGCATGTTGATCATTGAACCATACCTGACGTGGAACTTCTGCAACAATTCACCTACTAATTACAGTGGTGATTCTGTCAGCTACATGAGTAAGTGGAGGTGGTGGCAGACTCCTCGGCCTAGTCTGTAGCTTTCTTAAGTGTAAATCTGGTCCAAGTCGAAAGAGTATTAGATTTTTAGTGTCCCTAGGAAATCATTAGGCATTTGCAGGTCCAGTTCGATGAGTTTGCTGCAGATCTGATGAAACTTTGCTCATGCTATTAATTTTTGTAATAACCTCTAGGGAAGTATAAATTATTCTAGTTGTAAACGCAAATTCATTATGCTTCCGAAGGCAGTAGGCTGATGGTTGTTCTATATATCATTGCTGATTTGGCTGTGATATTTTGTATCATAGACAATAAGTTTTGCAAGTAAATGTTCCTATTGTTGCCTATGCCACATTCATCCTTCACCATATGATATTGATATATTTTGTTAGTGTAAGGTGGCACGTTAGTAATTCAACTATGTTGCTATTCTTACAGATTCAATGGCAAGTCTGAAACTCAAGCTTCCCAAATGGTTGGCAGACTACATAAATACTTGGTGGAAAAGAAAAAGAGAGTGAGAGGAACTATAGTTCCATGGGAAGTTAGAAGGTGATTTGATATGATTTCATAAAATTAGTTTCTTCCATCAACTGCCCTTCTTTTTCTCTTCTTCTTTGTTTCTTTTCCTCTTGCATTTGTTCAAATTTCAATAGCTATGAGCCATTCTTCCATATTCGAATTATCTATAATCTCTTCGCTCATATTCAAATTTATTAAAAAAAAAGTGCTTAACTTGAATAAGAATCATTATCAAATGAGAGATAACCATAATAGTGGAAGATTAACAAGACATTTTTTCCCATTTTGATTTTTTTTTTCTTATAAGACTAAATCAGCTTCATTTTCAAAATGAATATATAAAATGCTCCATATTTATCTAAAAAAAAAATATTGTTGTATGCTAGTAAAGTAAAGAAAAAAAGTTCTAGAAAAAACTGCAGGACTCATGATCATTTTTTTCTTCATCTTGTGACTAGGTTTTTCTTTCTTCTTTCTTTCTTTCCTCTTCAATTCTTGTTTCTTCTTCTCTTTTTCTTCTTTCGTCTTCGTTTCCTCCTTTCCTTCTCTCTTTCTTCCTTTTCTTTTCTCTTCCTTCTTTCCTTCTCATTGGTCCTCTTCTCCTCCTCTTTTCTCTTTCTCCTTCTCCTTCTCCTTCTCCTTCTCCTTTGCGTTCTTTCTCTTTCCTATCTCTTTCAATTCTTCTCTCGTGACTTCCCTTTTGACGCTGAAGCACATTTCTGGTTGCAACTTTGCTGCTACTCTTTTCTCGAAGATGATTGAATAAATATAAAAAGTTGCTTAGTGCAGATTTTTGGTTTTTAAAGAGTGGCAAAGCCGTCTAGTTTGTTCGTTTCTAACATTATTGTTCCTATCATAATAATATTAATCACCCATTGCCGTACAAAGGCCAGCCGTGGCATTGTCTCACCTTTCGACTCCATGCAATTCCTTCGGCTCATGAACAAACATGAATCCAGAAGATGAAAAAAGTGGATTAGCAGAAGTTGGATTAACAAAATCAATGTTTTTCTGATATTGGAAGAAATGAAAGGAATTAATCAGAGAGCCAATGTATAGTTTGAGAAAGTTTTGGCAAAGTGTAAACGATCAATATCCATTCACTGAATATAGATCATAATTCCAACATTTGACTTATCCCTTGGAGGGATAGTTACAACAATCATTTATAGCGTCCTACAACCTTGACTTTGCGAGTTGTAGAGTCTTAGGAATATTGACTGTTTAAGTTATAACTCAATTCGCTTATTGTGTTGTGTGGTGGGCTTTGTCTCAAGTCCAAAACCAAATGGGAATAGTGGATCATAATTGGGATCCCCATGGTTCATTGGAAGCTGATCTGGTCTCTTAAACCATGTACGAGCCAGCTTGCCAGTGAATCCATAGTCACCGAAAAGAACATCAGACACACCTTGGCCTTCACTTCCAGGGAGCCATGCGGCCACCAGGGCGTCCATTGTGTCAAGATATGGTTCAATTACGACGGGACGCCCTGAAATGAGGACAACAACGCATTTGATAGCCTTACAAGCGTTTTGGATTATATTTGGACCTGGATCAGGGATAGTCAAGTTTTGGCTGTCACCCCTTGTCTCTGCATAAGGAACCTCACCAACCACCACAATGGCATAGTCGAAGTTGTTCTTCTTAAAAAAGTTTTTTCCAGGATTCTTCCTGTAGGTCACTTGGGTGCTTTTGTCGACAGTGGCCTTGATTGCGTTGAGGATGGTGGTGCCTGCTCATCAAACAATTGATAAATTTTTTCAAACGAAGATGCCAAGAACTCAAAAACACTGGAAACAAAAGCATATAATATGCCTATAGTTGTGATCTGGAGTGTTGTCTCCTAATTTCAATGACGAAATCAATCTTTAACTGTATCAAATAAAATAAAGCATATATAACATAATTAATAGAATTTGGTTAAGAATTACCGGCAGTCCAGTTGTTTCCACTGACTCCTTGCCATTCAATAGTCCATCCACCACACTGATAGCCCAAGTTGTGAGAATGGGTTCCTGCAACAAGAATCTTGTTGGCATTCTTGGGGAGAGGCAAAACAGGTGGCTTTCCAGGCTTGCCATTTTTCAATAATACAAGTGATTTCCTTACAGCTTCCCTTGCCAGTGTTCTATGCTTCTGTTTTGTCAAAAAAATCCAGCAACTTTGTAATCAACAGATGTATCGTTTTACTTCATGGGTCATTTCCAGGCTGGTTTTAAAATAGCAAGAGAAAATGAAAACCAATTTTAATTTTTGCAAGAACTCACCATGCACCCAACCTTATTAATTAGACTATAATCAACAAGGGGATTTTCGAAGAGGCCCGTGGCAAACTTGACACGCAAGATTCTTGTCACGGCGTCATCAATTCGGCTCATTGGAATGACATTCTTCTTAACCAAATCAATCAAACCATTGATGAATTCAGTGTAGTTGTAAGGAATCATAACCTGGAACATGAACAAGCATTATTCCATATCTCAACTTAAACAATGATTCTAACCATATTTCTAGTTTGCTAGGATGACAAATGGAAGAAAAAGGTCAAGTTGTTCCTGAAATACTTCAGGTTTAAGGATCACATTTTAAAGAAACCTGTAAGAAGAAGCTAACACCAAGAAGGCTAGAACTGACCATGTCAACACCGGCCAATATTGAAGCTTGAATTGAGTAAGTGTAGTTTGAATGAGGAGGATAGGTGATCCTGTCTATTCCTTCCCAATCAGAGATGATGAAACCCTGTAAAATAAAATCTGTACTTAGTTCTTATTCAGTAAATTTTCTACCAAATTGTCTTTCTCTTTTTCTGAAAAGCAACTTGCTAACAATTTTCTAGGCAATCTGAAAATATTTACCTTGAAACCAAGTTTTTCCTTAAGGAAGCCGGTAAGCAAGTCGCGATTAGCATGCATCTTAACTCCATTAATACTTGAATAAGATGCCATGATGGTGGCAACACCCTTTGCCAGAGAATTGAGGTAAGCAGGCATGTGGGTGCCAAACAAGCCCGCCTGGTCAACTATGGTGTTGTTTTCATTAATGCCCTTGACAGTACCTCCATCACCAACGTAGTGTTTGGCACAAGCTGCCACCTTTTTTCTATGTCAAAAAACAAGGGATAATCAAATTGTCGATATGAAGGAACAATATGCCATCCAAATGTTACTGAATTCTTAAAATTAGAATGACAAAAGAAAGGACCGAGTTCTTACTTTCCAAGAACATATGGCATGCCCTTCATGTCGGTTTTAACTTCTCCTTGCAGTCCTTCGATGATCTGAGTCATCTCTTGTACAATTACATGGTCCTCACTGTAGCTCTCGTAACATCGGCCCCATCTAGGATCTCTGCATATCTGCAAAGAGGAATGATGACAAATCTGTAAAAAAAAAAAAGAAATGTTAATTAACCATATGTTCCATTTGCAAGAATACTTACTGCAATGCATGGTGCAAAAGCGTATGGAATACCGGTTGCTCGAACTTCAAGTGCAGTTGCAGCCCCAATCTTCTTAACGAGTAAAGGATCCCTGGTGGGTCATTGAAGAAAATAAGATACATCATATTGATCACGAAATCAAAGCATCAGGTTGATTTAAAATTAGATAAGTTGGAAACTTAGGAAGCTCACCTAGTTACGCCGAGGCCAACGTTATGTGGGAAAATGGTGGCATTGACGACATTGTTATGGCCATGAACAGCATCAATTCCATAAATCATTGGAATCCCAAGACGAGTCAAAAGAGCAGCGTTTTGAAAATTATTCACCATATCCACCCAGTCTTCTACATTAGCATTTTTCTTAGGTGAACTACCTCCACCACTCAAAATGCTGCCAATGAAGTAATTCTTTATGATATCTGCAGTCAGGTTTTGACGTTCAAGCTGCGCCATCTGTCCGACCTTTTCTTCCAGGGTCATTTTCCCCAACAGGTCCTGAATCCTGACATCAATCGGCTGCTTTGGATCTCTATATTTGGCATGGAGCTTAGCACCTTTGGCTTCCACCGTTACTCCTTTCTTTGCTCCTGTGATTGATGCATGGCAGCTTAGAAACAGAAGTCCCACAAGGGACAACAACGTTCTACCCATCTTTGTTTTGGATCACAAACACCAGAGTTGATTCTATGTAAAAACAAAACAAAAAGTTTAGAAAAGTGGGAAACTTTCATTTAATTAGTGTGACAACAGCATCAAACGTTCAAGAAAGTCGTTAAATAGATTATGATCAAGAAATAGTTTTGAAATGAAGCGAGAACCCAGAAATGAAACTCACCAGAAAATCAATATAAGCTTTTTTTTTTAATTAACAAGGTGGTGCACTATGGAAATAGTATAAAACAAGAAAAAAATCAAAAGAAAAAAAAAGAAACGACTCTAAAAGGCTAAAGCCTTGTATGAGGAAAAAAGGGTGAGGTAGGTATGTAGCGAATTTTACTGCTAAATATAGGCTGAAATTGATTTTGATCAATTGAACTATTATTAAGGAGTAAGTACACTCGTGATTACTAAAATTAATAAAATTCAATTAAGAACATAGTCATATTTCAGCTGAAAACTAGTATTTGGACCAAATATTCTCCAAAATCCACGTAATCTATTACCCCATTTATCTTCCAAGAAGTAAGAGAATGACATATAAGACTTTAATTATTATTATTATTATTCTCTTTGTCTTAATTTATTTGAACGGTATTGATTTTCACAAAATTCAAAAAATATATAATTTTAATATATTTAATTTTAAAATTAAATTTTTTTATAAAATTAAAGTTTTATAATTTTTAATCTCAAAAAGTAAAAAAATATATATAAAAATAAAAATTATAGATATTTTAAAAAATAATTTTAAAAAATCTATAAAATAAAAAATAAAACAGAAAAATTATTATTATTATTATTATTATTATTATTATTATGAAAAAGACTTTTAAATTGGAAATACTACAATTTTTGTTTTTATCTTTTTTGCAGGATAAAACAGATAATCTGTCTACATATCTTTCCAACAAAACTAACATTTCCCTTTTGTGTTGATTAATTGTTTTTTATTTTTTAATATAACTTTAAAAATGTATATTATGCTGCTAATCTTATGAAGTGAAAAAACTGCAAGGACAATAAATGAGATAATTTCCCATAATCGAGTGACCCTCTCTTAATAAATTTTTAGTTTGTAAAATCATATTGTAGGGAAATGACTTTCACCATGTGTTAAAAAATATCGTAAATTCAACTGTCTGGATGCAGTAAGATATCGTTATACAATTATTACGACATGTTTAGCCACAATTTTAACAAATTTCGTTGACAGCAGTAAAAGGAATAAACTGGCAGCAAAATTTTGTGCTTTACATGATCTTCTTCACAAAGAACTATTTACCAATACAGAATTTGCCAAAGATGTTGGATAAAATCTCCTCGGAAATGTCTTCTCCGCTTATCTGGCCCACGGCCAAGGCAGCATCCTTTAAATCAATTGTCCAAAAATCAAGAGGTAGTTCCTCCTTTATTGATGATTTCAATCTCACCAGAGCCTCCTTGGCACGCATGAGCTGTTCACATTGTCTCTGAGAAATCAAAAGAAAATATACCACAAGGAGAAATCCGAATCAACATCAGATTATGCTGGTGGAGCAGCTATGGATCACCGACTCTGATAAACGAATATGGACCTACGGTTGCCAAAAGCAAAAAGCTGAATAGTCAGTTTTGAAATGCTAACCTGGTTCACAGTCCATTTGCGTCCCCCAGAGGGAATCTGGTTTAGGCCAACAATCTCTAAGATTGTTTTCTCCAAATCTTGTATCCCTTGACCAGTTATGGCACATGTAAACACATGCTTACTGAAAGACTTGGCTTCCCTATCCACCCAATCAGAGCAAGTAGATGACGCACAGTCTACTTTATTGATAACTAGAATCATTGGGACAGATGATCTCTGAAACCCCAAAACAACAACCAATTACAGTGTATACTTAAAGAAGTTTAATTCATTGGATGAAGTATACTTACAATATGGAAAAAGCAGTAAGATTGGTACATATTAACCACAATACTAATAGCTTACCTTATTGGATTGAATCCTCTCAAGAAGTTTAGCATCTTCCATAGTCCATCCATCAAGAGCACTCACTGTCATGATAATGACATCAGCACCCGTAGCAACAGCTTCAGATCTCTCCACACCTAGAATAAAACAAGAACCATAAAGCATAAAATTAATTTCCAATTGTGAATAAAACTATTAAAATAAAACTTAATCAACTGCTCTGAAGAGACGAAGACTAAATGTTCAAACATTCCCTACTTGCTATCAGAGTGTAAAATTAAATACCCCAAATTTCTTCACGCAATGGAAGGAAAAGGATTAAGGAAACCAAATTGTACTTGCATGGGATTACCAGCAACATTATAATATCATGCTTCATAATCCCCAAGCATAATTGATAAGCCAAAAGGAGCCACCAAGTTTAAATGATACTCTTTATGCAGCACAAAGAAGACATAGAAGAATCAAATCCCATATTTGCTAGTTATTTGGAGGTTTCGTGATAGGAAATGACAAACTACAGAGTATGGCTCAGTCTTTGACACCAAAAGAGAGGCTCATTCATTGAATTTCCAATGTGAAACAGAATAAAATTTCGTCATCTATGGGTTCAAGAGACTGGCAATTGAATAAAAGATATATTTACAGGAGACTAACTTTCTTATGCAAAAAGCATAATCTAGCATAATAATACTTGGCACCGCCCTACTCGAGGCTTGTAAACTAACACTAGCCATTTTTGGAATTACAGTCAGGTAAGGAGAAAAATCTTACCAATCTTCTCCACAACATCATCAGTTTCCCTGATGCCTGCAGTATCAAGAAGTGTTATGGGGACACCAGAAACAGTTATACTGGCTTCCACCACATCCCTAGTGGTTCCTGCAATCTCTGTAACTATTGCCTTCTCACTCTGCACGCTAAAAGTAAAACACGGTGTTGAACAAGATACCATGCCATGCCATTTCTATGTGAAAGAACTCATGAACAAATGAAAGGACTAGGAGTTTATACGTCAAAGAAAAGTTTTTAGATGATGTGAAACAGACATGACCATACCAAAACTCAGTAATGGCCATATAATAAATGATGCAATAGGAAGAAAGGGGAGATAACAACATACTTTGCTCCATGCATTAAGAAGGCTTGACTTCCCAACATTTGGACGGCCAACAATTGCTATCTGCAAGATTTTGAAAATGGAGGTGACTGCATTATTGATAATTAACCTTAAAGATAAGATGCATATACTATCTCCAAACATAAAAAGACCAAAAGGTCCATGTATCTTACTATCAAAGAACAATATATGACTGTTAACTTAGAAACATAAATTTTCCACTCCATACAAATTTAAAGATCTCTGAATCCTTGGAGATTTTACCTGCAATCCTGATTGCAGAAGCTTATCATAATTGGCGGTCTCCAGCGCATGCTCTACATCTTGTGACATAGCATGTATTCTATCCATAATAAGGTTGAAATCTAGTGGTGGCATCTCATCCTCAAAATCTAAACGAGCCTCTATCTCAGTAAGCAACTCAATGCACTGTCCTCGCAATGATCTGACTAAAGAAGAGAAGCCGCCCTATAAAACAGCCAAGCTAATCAGTTTGTTAATCATACTGCCTACCATCGAAGTTAAAAAACAACAGAATTCTAAAAGCCAAACATGCCTGAATTCCTGCCAAAGCTGCATCAGCAGCAGCGACGGACTTGGCTGAAATTAATTTTCCAACATTTTCAGCTTGGGAAAGATCTAAGCGACCATTTAGAAATGCACGAAGGGTAAACTCGCCTAAAATACAGAAGTAAAAAAAAAAAAAAGGGTGAGGAAACGTTTTGACCTCTTAACAGAGGGATCGAAGAAGCCACCTAGAAAAGCATGTTTTCAAGGAAATAGCACTCTAACCATGATAAACTAAACAAGAAATCCATGATGGATATACTTGGTTTTCAATCAAACTAGAATTGACATGTGTCAATTGATTAGTTAAAAAGCCATAAAGAATTTTACACAACAAGCCAAATCCAACCTGGTTCAGCAAGCCTTGCTCCAGCTTCTAAACAAGCCTTCAACACACGACGCAGACACACTTCACTCCCATGGCACTGAAGCTCAACCACATCTTCACGAGTATATGATTTGGGAGCCAGCATTGGCACAGCTAAAACCTAAAAAAAGCACTAATTAAAAACATTAAAATAATAAAAATGACAACTTTACCTTCCATATCCCAAGTTCCAACTGCAATAACAAATACACAAGCAACCAAGTACAGGTTTAACAAAAATAAAGTCATTTTTTATGAAACTACACCTCATCAACTACATTCCCCTGAGAATCCAAGACAACGCCATACTCAACAACATGACTGGTAGGCCCCCAAGTACCCGAACCTGAATGAAACCTCCTCTTCTTCTTTGCCGGAAAAAAGACACGGCCGGCAATGTCGATAGCGGTGGGACCAGACAAACGAACAATGCCAACGGCAGCAGGAGGGCCTCCTAAAGAAGTGACAATGGCTGCAATGGTGCTGGTCGAGCTCTGGGTCTGAATTGGATCGCCCTGGTTCACTGAACCCAAACCCACCACGCGCTCATCGTTGTTGGAGACGAAAGTGGTCTCTGCAAAGGAAAAAAAAAAAAAGGCGAATCGATAGTTGTATATAGAAGTCAAAACGAGAAAAAATTGATTCTTGAGGGGGGTTTGAGTGAGATGAAGAACCTTGGCGAGTGACGGCAAGGGGCTTATGGGGTTGGGGTTTAGAAGAGAGAGGGAGGAGAAAAGATAGTTTTTGGGGGAAGAAAAGAGAGGATAAGGATAAAAGTGGAGGCGGTTTTGTTGGCCTGTAAAAGTGAGTGATAATAGCGCGGAGATATGGGAGTAGAGCCATTGTTTTTCAGTCTATTTTTTGTGCCTAAACTTTGACTGGTGACCACCGCATTATCAGGGGAAGCTAGAGCAAGCAAGAGGATGGTGGAGTTTTTCCTCTTTTTCTTTTACTCTGAAACTGTCCATGGGCCAAGATTAAGTGGGCTGGCTCTGGGCCTTACCTATATCCAATCTTGGAAAGCCAGGTTTTAAATCAGAGTCATAAACCTTTTTTTTATTATTAAAATCAAATATTTTTACATTAATTTTTATATTTGAAATAGATTATTACAATTAAAATAATCTCTAAATAAATCCTAAAACTTTAAAAAATAGAAAAGATGGAGGTTAGTTCCATTTATGGGTTTTGGAAGGCAACTTGACCCAATAGACAAATCAACTCTCCTCTCTTTCATTTTTATTTACTCTTTTCCATATTTTCCCTCTTTTTATATAAGTATTATTTTTAAAAAATCTGCATGAATTTGCATATTCTGATACTCTTATAAATGATGCAATCATGAAAGGTTTATTTATAGAGAATTTGTCTCTAATTAAGGGAAAGAAGCTATTTATGCTTGAACCATTTTCACAGAATGAGGACTATGTTAAGTACTAGGAAGCAAGAGTATTGAAGGAACGGAGAGGGTGGCATATTTGGTCAGTGTATCTCCTTGGGCTGGGTTGATTCTGAAATTATGGTAATCTCTGGCCTTGATAGTTGATACTTCTCAAACTTTGAATTGGTTCATGCATATGCCCGCAGGATCTTTGGATATCCACCTTTTGGCAGCATTTTTTGAAGAGTAATTGGGATAATGTATAAAATCTAGTTGGATATATAAAAGTATTGACTTTTTTTTCTTAGTCGATTCTGTTTGTACAAAACTTGTTAAAATTATTTTTTTCAAGAGATAATTGGTTCACAAAATCTTAAATTTAAAAAAAAAAAATTTTTAAATGTGAATTTTTTATAGAATGATTCTATATGATATAAGACTATTAATTTTTTATATTTTATTAAGAGAAAGTCAAATTAATTAAAAAAGTCTTTCATAATAATATCTTTTATTATATGTTAAATATATAATTTTTATTAAATATAACGTAATGTTTGATCAATAAAATTTGAATTTAAATATAATTTTTTTATTAAATAAAATAAAAAATATAATGAAATGGTACGTTAATCTAATATAAATGCCGTGATTGTTTAAGAAAAAAACAAATATTACGACGTTTCTAATAATATCCTTCGTTATATGTTAAATACAAATTTTGAAAAAGTACGTTCCCCTCCTCTTAAGGCCATTAATTTTTTCTGATCAACAAACATCTATGGTTCGAGAAAGATTGGTAGCCCTTGATGAAACCGTCCCAAACTTCTAGTTCTAATTCATCAGGTTGAAGTCCTTTTACCATCTTTTGATTTCATTTAGAAATTTCCCTTTTTGGTCCTTTAATCCTATGTCTTTTTTTTTCTTCAATTTGATTTTTCCATTTTAGGTTTCTTCTTGTGGTGTTTTCGATGTTCTTTGCTTCACTTTCACAATTGATCATACTGTTGCTAAGAATAGATTCCAAGTTACTTTGATTTCATCTTCCGATACGGAACCCTACTGTGTGCTAATGGAAGAACCTTATCGGCAGATGTGCCCCAGTGGAGTTTAAAAGACAATACCATGGCGTGCTAGAATCTTTCATCTTTAACAGGGACAGGACAAGCCATTTATATAAAAATCTTAACGTGGGTTGGGTTCTTAACGAATCTAGCTGCTTATATGTCTATGTTCACGCCATTGCCAACGATCAGAAGAATGAGTTTTAATATAAAAGTGGGTTTCCGTCAAAAGTAGTTTTGGTTAATTATTTTAATGAAATGCCACAAACCCCTATCCAAATTATAAAAAACATTAATTCATGGCCAATGTAGAAACAAGAAAATTGAAGTGAATTAAACACCTTTTTCATTCTTTTTCTTTTCTCGTGGGAAAGTGATAAAAGTGTATAGTAAGATGAGGATAAAATTATCAAAAGCACGAAACAGGAATTGGATTTCGATGAGTGATTCCCTACCGTTAAGAAACTAACGGAAACATAAACAAAAACGATAAGAAACCGTTGGATCTAGGGACATATCAGCAAATTTAAAACCTAACCTTATCGATAAGCACATTGTACACTTTTGTTTTGTCCTTTTAGAGAATGATCTCAGCCACTCCCACTTACACCACCTTTATAATTGACCCCTTCATCATTAAGCTGCAATTGAGATCCCTGCCTGCCTCTCTTCTCACACTGGACATGTACATTTTTGCTCTCATTTCAGTCATAAACGACCACATTTTTCATTGTTCATACTTCTTCCACCAGTTCTGGGGAACATGATGACACTGCATCAGCAACAGTGAGGAAGATCTTGTCGTTGCCGATTAAATTTGCAAAATTCGACGCGTGAAGCTTGTCAATCACCACTGGTCCAGGATTTGCCAGAATAAGCTGTGCATCAATGCAGGAAACCTCAGGTAACTGGTAAAAGCTATTAGACTGCATTGCTTTTAAGATAGATTATATTTGTCTATTAGTTATAGTCTATAGTTAAAGGTAGATTTTGTCGCATCATATAATTATTTTGAGCCATCATTTATTTAATTACCTGAACATTTTTTTTCTGAAGACTCCTGTATAATTCTTGAAAGGCATGGATGCCACTGGTATCAATGTCAGTTACAGCTGCACATAGAAAAACACAGGATATTAGGAAAAGTGAGCTTGAACTGCAAATAATGGATCCTTAAAACCAGTCTAGAATTCTTACGTGACATCTCAACTATCAAAAACTGGATTGTTGGCTGGCATGCAGCTTTTACTTGCTCTTCTTCATCCCTCAACCATCTCAAAATCCTGCAAGGATATCGCTGACTTTTAGCACCCTGAAATCTAATTGAAACCTGGCTGATTCAGCCAAATCCTAAAACATTGAAACCTATCATAACTCTAATATACTAGTATACTTTAAGGGTCTTGATTTGAAACATTTCACTACACATATTTTGAAACAAGCTCAAATAAATCAAGGAGTACTTAAAAAAATGAATTTGTACCATCCAACACTTTTAGCCTTGTACCTAGTGAATATTGTTAAATTTTACCAAGTGAAAGAAAATCCACTTCCCCTGCTGTCTCTAATAATTATAAGTTTGATTGTTCTCTTGCATGCAACTGCCATTGCTAACTATCTCCCCGCAGGATTTACTGAAAAGTTCTATTCTTTTAGTGAAACTCAGGAATTTATATAACTTTACTAGTTTCATGCAAAACCAGACCTTGAAATCTGGTTCTTGGGAGATTAGCAATTTCCAGGAATTGCCCTAGATATCTATTATGAGTTATAGAATACCTTCCTTTAAATGAAACCTACAGACCATAAAAAGACTAAGAAGGATGTATACCTCTCCTTGACATAATTAGAGTTGGAAAAGTAAATAGCTGAATCAACTCTGACGATCAGAACCCCTGGAACTTTAGCTGCTTCTGGATATTGTAGGATATTTCGGTACACAGTAGTCCTAGGGAGCTTCCCGAGTATAGCAGTTCGAGGCCTAGTAACTTGTAAGAGGATTTTAGCAAAGGATATTGAGACCTGCAATGAAGTCAGTGACAACAGATTTAAATCAAACATATGAAGAGTGTATAGTTCATCTTCAGGAATTTTAGACAGTAGACAACAAAGTTCTTACAGCAATTAAGAGACCTTTCTCAACTGATGAAAAGACTACTCCAAGAAAGGCTCCCAGGCATGCAACAAAATCAAATTTATCAATCTTCCATATCAAAATTGCTGCTGGAACATCGAAAAGCCCAACCACAGCTGATATAATGATGGCAGCGAGAATAGCATTTGGGGTGTACTTGAAAAGAGGTGTTATGAATTCTAAGGTTAGAAATACAACACAGGACATAATGATGTTAGAGACTGCGGTTTGGCAGCCAGCCATGTAATTAACGGCTGATCGAGAAAATGAACCTGCAAGTAATGAAGGAATAACATCATCAGTTATATACCAATAGAATTACGTGACTTCGTGTGTGCATGTCTATGTTTTCAATATGTCTGATTCATATTGACATATAAAAAAAGATCTAATAAGCAAGCTGCAAATGAAACATGTCAGTCAGTTTTTTATATTTTCAATGCATGATTTAACATATAGCTCAAGGAAATGAATTACTGATATTTTTAGTAGATACATATGATTTTTTTATGATTTTTTTTAGTTTCAGTAGTTTGAACTTTGAGTGCAAAAGTGAGTAGGTTGCCATAATAAACATGTTCTAGCTTCTCACCTGTTGCCACATAGCAGGAAGTCATTGACCCAACAACATTCATTGCTCCTAGTGCCACCATTTCTCTGTTTCCATCTAATTGATAGTCTTTCATTGAAGCAAAAGTTCTTCCAATGGCTACAGCTTCCTGTTAAATCGACCCACCATAGAAGAAAAAAATTGTAGCATGAAAGGTCTATTTAGATGCAATGTCATAATTAATTTTCTTGGTCAGTGATGATGGATAGAAGAAACAACAAATTGGCTTACCGTCAATGCTATCATACCAGCAACAACACCAATCTTCAAACCTTTAAGAAGATATTCACCATGGAAATAAATTTTATTCACAGATGTGGGATTGATTCCTTTCTCGATGTTTTTCACCTGCATAGATGAAAGAAAAGTGGTGCTGCTATAATTACTCATTACCAAAACTACTACAATATCTGCCGTCATGGAACTATTAAATTACAATATTTTACTAAAAGATTATTATAGGTTAAAGAAAAGGAGCTTACAATCTGAACTCCTTTCTTTTCAGCATGTGTTATATAAACGAAGAAGGTGGAGAGAACAACAGATATCAAAGGAGCTATTGCAGGAACCCAGAAAAATTTCTTGTTCTTTTTTCCCTATTTACCAAAGCATGTAAAAGTTAGCAAATGCTCACAAGCCTGTTATAGTTCTTAAACACAAATAAGACTTAGAGGTTCTTACAATGTACTTGGAAAACAGAAGGAAGGACAGAAAGCTAGATCCAATGACTATAGTCTGCCAGTTCCACTGCAAAGTAGTATTATATAAATTTAGTAGATGGAATGTAATGAATGATAACATTGATATTGGTTGGAATTCTTCCAACTGTAGGTTGTGACTCCTCTTTAAAAGGAGAGAATCAAAATGCAGATTTCTTGGAAAAGGAAAGAGATGGAGGACTGCTTACTCCATGATGGGCGTTGCCCCATACAGAGTGCATTACAGAAATAATATCTGTTTTCTTTGTAAATTTGTTTATACCAAGAAGACCCTTAAGCTGTTGGAGGGCAATTGTAACAGCAGCTCCAGCCATAAAACCGACAATGGCAGCATGGGACAGGAAGTCTATCAAGAAGCCCAACCTAATTATTTGTTTTCAGAAGATAGTTTAGTGAATGCTAAGAGCAGTAATGGATCCCTAAAAATAAAAGTAGGATCCCTAAAAGTATAAGTAGCACAATGTTAGCAGAAAGAAATATTATGGGCAGCTATTATCAGACTTCCATGAGTAAAATACACAATAATTACCTGAGAAAACCAAGAGTTGCTTGAGTGATCCCAGCAAAAAAGGTAGCTGTAAATGCAAGCCGCCGATACTCAGCTGCATTTTTGATAGGGTCAATCTCATTAGAAAGCATAGTCCCCAGTAAAAGAGATACCACAGCAACTGGTCCAATGGCGATATCTCTTGAACTTCCCATTAAGGCATAAATCAATGGTGGAACAAAGCTGGAGTCTGTAATGGTTAAAATAACAATAATAAAAACCTTAAGACGAATCCAACAAAAAGGCTACTTTAACAATCTAAGGCAATGATAAATAACATGGAAACTTACAAAGTCCATACTGTGGATCCAAGTTAGCTAGCTTTGCATAAGCAATGTCCTGTTTTCCAAGAAATTAAACTGATTAGTTAATTTGATTGCATGTATGTTAATTTGATTCCAAGAAATTAAACTGATTATTGGAGGTTCTCTAGCCTCACGTATGCTTTTGGGGTACAGCGAATCTACCTGAGGAATGCAGAGACTTGCAATAGTCAGTCCAGCAATGAGATCACCTATAAATTTTCTCCAGCTGTAACTCCTTCCCCATTCAAGAATGGGGAAGACGGCCTGGATGCCCAGAATGAGCTTTCGAGACCTTGATTGATCCTTGAAATGACGCAGAGGATCATCAGCAAAGAATGTTTCTTTCACAGTGGCTGTGAATTCCCTGAAGAGGTTTTGCTTAGGGGGAACTCCCACCTTGTGAAGATACTGTGTGTTGTGCACATGACGGCCAGAGGATGACAGGCTTCTAATGTCCATCTCTTTAGTTTCAACCTCCTCGTCATTTGAATGAGACTTCGAAGCCATATCACATATCTGTAGCACAGGAAAAGTAAGCTTGATCAGAAAGGGCAATTCCGATTCTTGCTGGGCATTAATACAGAGTGATATAGCAAAAGCTTGAACCCATGCAAACCATGAGAAACGTAATACTAATATTTCTTAGTTTTTTCATATGTTATTGCATGTAAATGTTTCCCTAAAACAAACTAACAGATCTTTGACATTTAAGAACAGAACATCACATCAAGCTCATAGTTCATGAATCATGACATGCCAAAGCCATCCGTAGAAAATGAATATAATTCAGGAATGAAGATGCTTACACTAACTAATTAGAAAGTAGATGGAGGTAATGGGCAGGTGAGGTTTAGAGACCGCAAAGACTTGTTGAACATCGAAAAAATCTTGGGAAAATCTTGCTTACATAAGTACTGAAAGGATTCCAGGTCAAACATCACAAGCTTAAAGAGAGAATTAACAATCAATATATGATGTATGAATATGGGTCTCTTACATGTCCTATGCGTCAGAGACAACCAAGCGGCAGCAAATTTTAATATTACAGGCAACCAACACCGAAAGATTATTCAATACCATGCAAGCAAATGATCATCTCTTCCATAATTGTGGAGTTTATTGAGTAAAATATGCGGTTGGGGACGCTGTTGACTTATATGCACAGGTGGCAGCAGGCAGAAAGCCAGAGACTTTAGCCACCTCTTTCTATGAGCCTTTTAAAGCATATTTTCTTGGTATAATTATCATGAAAAGTTTATGAGAAGCAAATACAAGCAGAAAGAACAACTTATAGATGGAACTTCTGCTAATATTTCATCAGAAAAGTTGAAAAGGGGAAAAATATGTAGCTTCTGTCAATAACAACCAGACATTAGGAAGATAATTTTTTGGTTTTATTTGAATAAAGTCTTCTTCTGGTGTATTGTAAAGGGTCCCATTTTGAAGAAAAGCCCTCCCTCAACAGTTAATAAATCCTTGACCATTGATTATTTACTCTAGCTCTACACTTGGACTGTAAAATTGGAACCAAAAACAAACAAAAATTTCTCACCAATTTCATGAAACTATGTCTCAAAATCATGGCTGCAAGTTACTATCACAACTCACAAGTACTGTTCCAATTAATAGACTATAAGATCGAAATTTTTTCCTTTTAAAAATGGGTCACTGGAAAAAATATGCTATACCCAGAAAAGGAGGTAATTAAAGGAGAGTAAGATACTAAAGTACTTATAAAAGTTCAAAAAATCCAATGATGCCCCTTTGGAAAATCAAAAAGCCAACTTGACCAGATCAAAGAATGCGATTCAGGATTAATTATTTGAATAGTCAACTGACCAATTGCATTAATAAGCAGTTCCCTTATCCTCAAAAACTTGATTTTTAATCAATATTCTTATTTTTAACCCCAAAAAAAACCCAGATAGCTCAAATAATCTAAGAGCCTACATATTTTCCAAATTGCATGTCCTTTTAAGGAGGGAGAATAAAGGCTATCTCACCTCCATTCATATACCTCACATTGAAGCCACTGATAGTGGAAGACCCCACCACTCCCCCCACCCCAGACACCTTCTTAAAGATAATCTTCAAAGGCCAAAGCTTTACTTCAAAGAGAATCTGCAGCAGGCTTTAAGAAACATACCAAAAAAGGGTACCCAAAAAAAAAAACAATAAATAACAAAAAGAAAAGGCAAAAAAATGAGGAATTTCTATGTTCATGCAAAAAGTTAGTGTTCAAAATCAGTTCAAAAGCTCACCTTTTCGTTTCCCACACTGGATGGTCCTCACGTTTCTCCGCATTTTTTAATATTTTTATAAATAAACAAGTAAACCCATTGCAAGAAGAAGATCACCAGGAAAGAACCCAAATCTCGTCCAAGTTCAATGAACCCAACATTGCCTTTTTTATTTCTTGCCATTTTCTCCGTTTTTTTTCCAAAAAAATAGGAACAGAATAAATAAACTACTACTACAAAATATAGTTTTTGTAACCAAACAGAAAAGAAAATTAACTTGTGTTCGACAAAATCTTTGTTATATGATCGGATGAGGTAAAGGAAACTCTTATGTCTTAACTCTAATGAGTTGAGTTGTTTTTAATTAAACTCAGTTTTGAAAGTTCCAAAGTTAGAAAGAAAGGCAAGTGTTGGGATACTTACGGAACTGCTATCTGATTTCCACGTATGTTTGTGAACCAAAAAAGTCAGAGATGAAGGCGTGGCCTCTACTTTTGTACTAGATTTTCTGTCTTTGTCAAACGTCTCACAGTACCCTAAAAAAACAAAGACATTGTGATTCTCCCTTTGAGGTTGACATAGCTGCAAAGTTAGACCAAAATAGTTGAACATGGACAAATTAAAGGGTAGATTCACTTTAGGGTTTGGTTCACTTTTTTTATACTCGGAGTTTGGTGTTTGGACTTTGATGGTTTGAATTTAGTGGCTTGGGGACCGCTATATTCTATCCTCCTAATCTTTCTTTTTATCGTCCCCACCAAGGCCCTTTTGGCTTTTTAGTGGGCATCGACTGCCCCAAACTACCGTCAAATTACGCAGGTGAAATTCTTGAAAGGACGTGTCATACTCGTATATCAATCTTTTTTTTTTTTAATTCTGGTACAAAAAATTAGTTATAAAATTAAAAAACCCAGACAAATTGAATTAATGGATGAAGAGAGACGATTAAGTTCTTAAAAAGAGTGTCAAAGAAGAAAAGTACGAGCATGTTTAAAGCAATTTGAGTATTAATTAATACGAAGGGACCCAATATTCTGTTTTCATGACGATTTGCCTTTTAAGTCTGCTAGGATTAGAATATATTCAAGATTAACGTATATCATGTCAAAACAAAATCTAGCAAAGTAAACTATGAAAAAAAAAAAAATCTTAAATTCCTTCTTTTTTTATATGTGGAATGAAAACACATGGTGTTGAGTGTTAATGGAAAAGATTCACAATTTGTTATGTGAATAAGAGTAAAAATCATCAGGCGTAATATAATTTTTTTATTCGATATTATGTTTTTAAAAAATATGATAATTCATATAGATATGTAAACATAGAGAGGGAAAAGAGTTATATACCTATTTTGTTAGAGGCCTACACATATAAGACCGATATTTATATATAAATTCTATATTTATGACTCATTCAAACTTAATTGTGATTTTTGAATATCCATACATCTTAAAGACATAAATGATGATCTTCAATTATGGAGAGCATGAGAGTTCTAATTGATAATCTAAAGCATGCATGAGGTTTCTAATTGTCGAGACGTCAGATTCTTAATCAAACAAGATATGATAAGGGAGTCTGAGACACAAAATTCTTTTTTCCCTCAAAATTACTAGTGATTAATATAGCCAAATCCCAAACTAAGGATATAAATTATTTTGCATGCCTATGAAAGAAAATGCTTGATATCACTTTCTTGATAATCCAAAGTAATTATCTCTATTTCACTTTTATAAAGGATGGTGCAATCTGAAGATATGGAAAGTGATTGATTGTGCTCTTAGGTAAAAAATTATTATTTTGATGAAAAAATTGATAATAATGAGAGAATGAGGTTTTCTAACTTTAGGTTTCGAATTCAATATCTTATCTCTTAATTAATTATAACAGCATAATCAATTATCTCAAAAGTTTAATAAGTTGAAATTATTAAAATGTTTAACTATTTTATTTACATTCTAATGACAAAATAAAATTAACAAATTTGTAACTTTCATGTGCTACCCTCGTCTCTTTTTCATCCTCTTGTATAATTATATATATTTTACAAATTTTATTATTCTTATATTTTGGTTATTATCTCACCTACTTATACAAGTGGTTGGCATATTTGAATCATGCTAATTAAAAAAAAAGTGATGATGACGAGATAAGCTTAAGCAGGAGTGGTGTGATTAATTAAAAAAAAAAATTCAAGGGGACCGAGGAGAATACTCTAATTGCGTTGATATTTATAAGTTGTAAGTTATGTAGCAATGGCAAGCTATAATGTAGCAATTAGCTTCAAATATTTTAATGGATTATTTAAATAAGAAATCAGCAAAAATCGGAGTGCTATTTTGTTTAAAAAACTAATGAAATCTTATCCATTACAGGAGATTGTTACTTTAAAATGCAAGAGGAACCAATAATAAGAGTGGCAAATTTCTTGGGTTAGCTTGTGAAATCATCCCACTCCACTAGCACCAGAGGTGAGCTATCTGCATTTTCATTTTTTTATTTGAGATCTAGCATGTGGCTTATCTTTTATTATAAAGATTTTTAAAACGAAATGGGAAATCTTATTTAATATTTGACGTTAATCTATAGCAAAGACTTATATAGAAATTTTGATTGGTGATGACAAACGCAAAATTAGATTTGATAATTTAAAAAATGATAAAATAATATAATACAAAATAATATGATAAATATCAAAGCATTGCTGATTGTTTTAAAATCATATATAATTAAATACAATACGAATAGATAAATTATTAATATTTTATACGATATAAATATATAAATTGTTATGTGTACTCAAAACTCCAATAAATTTAAATAGAGTTTATATATACATAAGATCACATAAATATTAAAATTGGTGGAATATTTCCCATATGTGTGGATAATTACTTGTTTATTGTTGATCAGTGGTACCTTAAAATGGTTAAAAAGCCAAAGAGTACATTTCTTTCTTGCAACATTTGGGGGTATTAAGTTCGCTTTGTCTATTAATTTTTTTTTTAATTGTTTTGGTTGCAACCAATATAGTTTTTTTAAAGGTGCAAATCATTGATGCAGTCTTCTGATGATACAAAATAATGTCCATAATAGGCAAGTAGGTTTCCCTCTAATTGGAATTCTAAAAATAGGGCAATGGAAGAAAATATTGACAGATTGCATCAATGGAATAATAATTTTTTTTTTTTTATAATGGATCAAGGATATCTCTTAGGTTTTACCTTAGTCTGATATATCTAAGTGATTTTAAGAGTACATGTTTTTTATATTAATTTGATGCATTTAAAATTTTATTCTTTTTAAAGTGATTTTTACAAATATGAATCCTTAATTAATAAAAAAAGAGTGCTCATGATCTTTTCCGATTAGATAACCCTTCGGGTCAAATGGAATAATAATCCTATCAGTAAATAATTCGTGCTTATCTCTAATCAGCATGGCAACGATTGATAATATGAAATGAAAAGGAATTTCAAATTAAGAAATAAAACTTGCAAAAGGAAATGGCTCCTGGTCAGCTCATCCACTCTAGCAATTTCTTTTAATTCATATAATAGTACTTAATTAATTAGTAGTGTGTGACAGCAAGGATGAGATATGATTATTATCAATTTGTCAGTTTAACTATATGGTAGAATATAGCTAATGTGGCCGGTGTTGTTATCAGTGATGAATATAAAAGCAGGATTAATTTTCTGTTTTTGTAATATATAGCCCTATCTATCTGATCTAGTTTATATTATATATATTATAGGATTATTATCAAGTATAATTGCATTGTCTTTTTTTGAATTTTACAAATCGTTTAAATACATGCATGCTAGGAATTCATATGTGATTATAAGGAAGGAAATTATTTATTTATTTTTATAAAAGATAACGTAACTTGAAAATAAATAAAAAAAATTGTAAATATTGAGATTTAAATTTTAGATTTATTGAATATTATGTTTTAAAATAATTATATAAATTAATCAAATTAAAATTTTAGATTCAAAATTTATTAATTTTGACGTATGTAATTACCTAGATATATGTACTTGAATATTGTCCCAAATGGGATAATTCAGTGATTAGATTTTTTTGATTCTATCTTAGAGGGCCACTCGTTCCAATTTTGAAATGAATTTAACTGATATAATAAGTTATCTGCCATTGTATAGTCTAATATCACATGTAAAAATAAATATTTATTTGATGTATTTAGAGTGTTAACATTGAAAAATATAAAAAATTTCATTTATATAATTTCATTTTTCATAGCTCAACAAGGTCAACCTGGTG